GGGAAGCAGCGCCGTCAGTCTCCAGCTGCGAGCAGCGCCGTCAGTCTCCAGCTGCGAGCAGCGCCGTCAGTCTCCCGCTACGAGCAGCGCCGACCTCCCCCTGCATTTGCACCATTACCGAGGCTGAGCTCTGGAGCGACCATCACCGACTTCAACCCCTCCTCGAAGGTGAGTCTTCTCCTGCCCTCCTGCCCTCCCTCAAACTCACCTCCTCCCCCTCCTCCTCCTCCTCCTCCACATCTTCCCCTTCCTCCTCCTCCTCCTCCTCCTCCTCCTCCTCCTCCTTTTCCTCCTCCATCTCTCCTCCTCGTCTCCGTATTGTCCTTTCCTTTTTTTCCCATAGTATCGGATCTTGTACTCGGAGCTTTGATAGTATCTCAGACTATATCCTCGTCTTCTCCGCCTCCTCCTCATCACTTCCTCCTTCACCTCTCATCAGCCTCCCCTCCTCGTGTATCTTTCCTTCTCCTCCTCCTCCTCCTGTCCTCCTCGGCCTCCTCCTTGTCAAGGTCTCATCACCTTTTCTTCTGTGAACTTCGATTTGTTTTGGTATCACCTCCTCTACCCTTAGTCGTATATCTTTCCTCGTCCTCCTCCTCCGTCCCTCCTCGTCCATCTTTCCTCCTCCATCTCTCCATCTCTTCTCCACCCTCTCTCCATCTCTACTCTTCCACCTCTAATCCTCCTTGCCATGGCCGTGTCACTTTTTTTTCTTTTTCTTTTTTTAATGGAAACTTTGAAATTCAAACTGTGATGGTATCTCCTCGTCCTCCTCCTCCTCTGTCCTTCTCCTCCATCCCTCCTCGTCCATCTTCCTCCTCCATCTCTCCATCTCTTCTCCACCCTCTCTCCATCTCTACTCTTCCACCTCTAATCCTCCTTGCCATGGCCGTGTCACTTTTTTTTCTTTTTCTTTTTTTAATGGAAACTTTGAAATTCAAACTGTGATGGTATCTCCTCGTCCTCCTCCTCCTCTGTCCTTCTCCTCCATCCCTCCTCGTCCATCTTCCTCCTCCATCTCTCCATTTCTCCTCCTCCACCTCTCATCCTCCTTGTCACCGCCTCGTCACTTTTTTATTTTTGTGATGACCTGTCCAAACATGGACTGAAACACACAGCTGATTTCTGAGTTTTGCCCATAGACTGAATGCCCTGCTGAGTTTCCCACTTGCTACTAAGTCTGTGTGTGCACGCTTGCTGGACTGCATGTCTGTCTGAGTGCTGGTTGGCTTGAGTGTGTGTGTGGCCGTGCCTGTCTGAATGCTGGTTGGCTTGAGTGTGTGTGTGGCCCGCAAGGGCACTTGCTCGCTCATTGGGCCCTCAGGGCCGGTACTTACCTGTGGCCGTGACATTGAGGGATTGCAGCAGGAAAAACACTCAAGTAGCGGGTAGACCGGTACCACACCCTGAAGGGGTAGATGTGCGGGTACTGGAGGCCAAGCAGAAGAAGACAAAAGTGGCATTTTTAGAGGCCCAGTAGTTGTAGGTTAGGTGTAGGTGGATCCCAGTCCAACCAGTCTGGGTCTAGGGCCTGTACGGGCAATATCAGTCTGCAACGATGTTTCCCTCCGAAAGGGAGGAGGTACCGGTTGCTTGGAAGGCCGAGCGGCCTGGAAGTCACCGCCCGAAGAGGCAAGAAGGCCGCTATATCTCCCAGCTGGGCGAAGAGCCCGGCCTCTTTTTCGGTGTGCAAGTTTGGCGACACACTGGTGGAGCGCTGCTGGGGAGGAAGGAGAAGGACACGAGGGAGGAAGAAGGAAGGAAGGGGGGAGGAGCGCCAGGGGTACTTACCTGGCTATGGTGGCAGCCATCTTCATCACCTTGGTGGGCGCTGCAGCAGGGAGTCCCCAACTGGGGAGAGCCACACCAAGAAGCTTCGAGGCAGGGTCAGGCATGGCGGCCTGAGCTAGAGCAGCCATAGCTGCTTTGGGTTGTCCTTTGGGCATATGGGCAAGGCCTAGTAGTCCGCCATAGCCTCGGCCTATGAGAGTGAAGAGTGGGAGAGGCGGCCATGGCTATGGTGGACCTCAAGTGATACCTGCAGTAGAAGAGGAACTCGGACATTGATTCTGGATCAGCCATTCAACATTGTATTATTATTTCTTGTATGAATAAGAGAAGGGGGAGATAAGGAGGAGGAGATTGTTGGGCGAAGAAGTATTATTATTGTTTCTTGTATGAATAAGAGAAGGGGGAGATAAGGAGGAGGAGATTGTTGGGCGAAGAAGAAGAGCCTCATTTGTCTGTGTTGGTATACATCATCTTCTTCTTCTTTCTCATTTCTTCTTCTTCTTCTAATCCTCTCTCTCCTCTCAAGTTCATTCATTTCTTTCTGCAATTGGACGGCATTGTACTATTTGATGGATGTGTACTTCTCCATCTCCTCATCTTCCTCGTCCATCTCATCTTCTCCTTGTCACGCCCTCGTCACTTTGTTTCTTTTTTTTGAATGAAACTCTGAAAATCGAACTCCGATTGTATTTCCTCCTCCTTGTCACGTTGTCGTCGTCACTTCTTTGTCCATGGACATTTGGAAAAGCAATTGTTTCCGTTTCGGATAGGCAATGAATCGCTTCTTTTTCCCGTTTATGTTTTGCAAAAGCAGTGAAGTGCTATTTTCGTGGGGTTTTGGGGGGGGTAGGGGGCTATGAGGGGGTGGAATAAGGCTGATTTCATGGGGTTTCATGGGGAGAGGGAAGGGGGTTGGGGATGTGCGTCTCGGAGTGGACGTAGGACACGGCTGAGTTCGTGACTTCTCTTCTGCGATTTTGTGTGCAGATCACGATGACGAGCCACGTGTATAGTTCCGCTTTGATAAAGCGGCATGGCCATAAAGATGGGGTCCGTGAAGGCGGGGTTAAGGCAGGTGCTGATCCACGTGGCAAGGGCGACTGACGGCGGCAGCAGTCTTCCTAATGTGTCGAGCGTGGGTAGGGATAGAGGAAAGGTGATTGCTGCACCCACCTTGCAGTGATTATGAAAAAAAAAAAAAAAACAAGATTCCGGACGGGATATTACCGCACCCGACAGCGCGCGGCCCCGTGCGGTCCTGTACGGTATGGGTACTGGCCTGTATGGAGGTTGGGGAGGTCCCGGACCAGACCCGGTACGGCGCACCGGACGGTGTGGCGCGCTGTGCGGTTGCAAGTATGGTTCAAAGTCGTCTATCTCGACAATATCCTGTAGGACTTTGGAGCAGCATGCAGAGAGAGCACTTCGATATTGTACAACTCCTTCAGAAGCATCAGTACAAGATTAATTTGGAGAAGAGTGAGTTTGGGCGTACTAGGATCTTGTACTTGGGTCGTGAGATATCTGAGGTCTGAGACCGGAGGATGCAAAGGTGGCTGCCATTAGGCCCCCCCATGACCTCGGTCTGTGGCTGAGGTCAAATCATTCTTTGGGATGACTTGGTATTACAGGCCTTTGTAAGGAACTATAGCGGTATTGTTGCCCCCTTGACTGATTTGACCCGCCTTAACACCCCTTGGAAATGGACTAAGTAGTGTGAGAGGGCCTTCAAGCAATTGAAGACCACGCTGATGCACCATCCAGTGCTGAACATTGCAAATCCCAATAAGCCATTTATCGTTACAAGTGATGCCAATCAATATGATATAGGCGGAGTTTTATGGCAATTAGAGGGGAAGAGTTTAAGACCTGTTGAGTACATGACCAATATGATGCCTTCTCGGATTCTAGCCAACTCCACATACGACCGAGAATCATATGCACTCTATATGGCGTTGAAACATTGAAAGCATTATCTCCATGATAAACATTTTGAAGTTTGGTCTGACCATAAGACACTTCAATTGGTCAAGATGCAACCCGGACTGTTTCCCAGTTAAGAGATGGATGCAAGTCATTGATATGTATGACTTCACCCTGAAGCAAGTCAAAGGATAATTCAATGTGGTGGCTGATGCTGTTTAGGAGGGCAGACAATCTTAAGGCATTAGTGAACGAGTTTGGACTTGTTGGGACAGTACGTGAGCAGTTGGTGGATGCCTGTAAGGAAGACAACATTCAGAAGGAGATCATTAGGCACCTCACTGCACAAGATAGGAAGGTATGTGAGGAGTTCAAAATGGTTGATGGTTTGCTGATCCTGAGCACGGGAAGAAAAGAGAGACTAAGTGTTCTAAGTAGTGAGTCTTTGTGTGTAGTTTTATTTTAGGTGAATACCATGATGCCACAGATCATTTGGGGTTTACAAAGGCGTACGTTGGCCAGAGAGGCTGGATTTCTGCTGTCATCTGTTTCTGGTCCTGTGCTTCATTCTCTTCAGAGACCGCCCTTTTCTTGCTGCTTCCTCTGGTGCGGCCTCGTTCTTCCAAGCTGTCGTAGTGCTCTGGCCAGTTGAAGAGCTCCGTGTATGAGCGGTTGTCCATCTCTATGTTGTAACCACGCAGGGTTGTTTTAAGTCCTACTGCTTGGCATAGACCTTAGACAACTCTTGCTCTCGCCTGAGGATGTCAAACCAGTTGGATGACGAGCCCGGTGTCTTGCCAGCAGCTGTCAGCTGCAACGTCTGCTTTTGCTAGCGTTGGTGTCGTCGGGGGAACAGCCGTGACGGGGGAAATCGAGGGTGGGGGGATATCGTGCGGAGGTAAGAAGTGGGGGGAACAGGGAGACGAGGGGATCGAGGGAAAGTCGGGGGGGGGG